CTTATTTAATTACTTGTGTCTTAGCAAGTTTAAAGCCTTATTATTTGGATCTTCTTTGTATTTTTTAGAGATTGGGAATTTAGTCAAATTGACTCAAAACTTTGTTTTCTTGTTTTTATTTTTGGGATTAGAAATGACGTGTATTGAAGACGTTTTGGTAGTACAGTTGCATGACTATGTATGAATATTTCCTAAGTTTACTTATGTACATGTAATAATGAATATTGCTATTTATTTCACTATTGGTGTGCACATATTTTCTTTCTATTTTCTAACAATATTTTTGTAGGTGAATGAAATGATACCAATGTATATGGATCAAAGATGGCAATTCATATGTACTCCACATTGCTTTATTCTTCAAAATTCGGTGAAAACTTTGTAATTTTGTAAACTCAATTGTTGTAAATTACTTTTGGTGAATATATATAAATTTGTTTCTTTGGTAAGATATTGAATGTTTTATTTTGTGATGTAATGGTTAATAAGACTTCATTTAGAAAAAGGATGTGACGGTATATTTAATGTGTCAATTTATTGATTTTGTATGTTTATTCAACTACTAATAAGTTTTGAAGTAAACTTGATCAAATTATACAAAGTTTACATAGTAAACGCTAAATACCAACTATAATAATTATAACAATGAGATAAAAGTATAGAAATATATAATAATGTAATATGAAAGCTATATACACAATATAATAGCGTAAATAAAAGCTATTATAAGTTTAAGATAGCACAAAATATGAGCTATAATGACTATGTAGTGGGCATATGATACCACAAAAAAATAGTTGAAGATAGCCCAAGAAAGGAGTTATTATAGGTTTAAGATAGCACAAAATGAGCTATCTAAACATATAATAGTGTTAGGAAAATGCTATTAAATGTTTTCATGGCATCGTAAATATGCAATAATTTCTTCATTTATTATAGCATGCGTTATAGCTCTCCAAAAACGCTATCAAAAGTCATGGACTTTTAATAGCATCGGCTGTCACGACTCTCAAAAAATGCTATAAAAAGCCTTTTATAGCGTTTTTCTTGAGCTATCATATTCACTTTTTCTTGTATTGGGGTAAAGTGGTAAAATTTTCACCCTCCATTATTAACACTCACTATGGTTCGTGGGATCTATTTAATTCCATAGGAAATGCGATGTTGGTGCATCCATCGGATGAGTAAATGGAGGAGGCACATCAAGTTATTTGCAGACCACACAAATCATGGACCGTCTCAACAACACGAAAACTTTCCTTAAAGCCCCTTGACATCAATGAACAAGCAACGGTTTGGACGTCTGTGGTGAAAATATGTTGATCCCACTTCTCATGATTCCTCCATTATCCGCAATAGGGTGATGATGGTGTATATTATGATGAAGGGTGTTGAGTTCAATTTGGCGAACTCACAACGAAATTCGGAGCTGTTCGGAGAAAATGGTAGGTCCACTTGTTTTTCCTGGATTAATAACAGAGTTATGCTTACAGGCGGGGGTGGAGGCTGATGATGCGAATGTAGTAATGCCCAAGAAGCCAGTCACATCTCTAAGGTGAGTTTGGGATATTCGATCGTTTGAGAGGAAGATTCACCCATTATCACTGTGGATCCCGAGACCCGAGGAGTGGTGACTAGGGAGCAATATGACGAGCTAAGGTACAAGTACGAGCTTCTCTTGGCTACTCAACATGTAACATGTGAGTTTATAAAGAAATTATACGGTGATGGAGAACCTTCTTTCCTCGATGAGCTTATGGCCAATTTACCATCTTCTCCCAACCTACCGGTGATGATTGCTCGGATGATGATGATGATGACTAGGGGAGTATCTCTCTTTTTTTGCTTTGATATTGGATATTTTGGATATTGATCTTGTACATTAGTTGGTTATATTGCTTTTGTGTTTTTAGTTTGCTTGTTAGGTTGTTTAGCTTAGTCTTAGGAATGAGTATATGAGTTGTGTTTCTGCATATGATTAAGTTCAAGTTTTGCATGCTTCCTTGTTCTAGCTACAAGTTTGTCCTTAGCTTATTCAATAGCATCTTTTCTAAGCTCTCAGCATGCTCGTCTTTTTAATGAAAAGCTTTCCTTAGTTTTTTGTTTTTGTATCATGTCAATGAGGATATTTAAGGGCATGAAATAGGTTAGATTTCCTAGTTTTATGATCAAGCTATAAGTCATTTTCCACTTTTTGTTTTGGTTATAAAATTGTGTTATGCTTTTTTTGTTTTAAAACTTAAACTTTTTCATTGCTTTGGAAGTCCTTGTCCTTTTTGTACCAAAATTTTGCATCTCTCAAAATTTATTTCCTCAGTGAGGACACTGTTTCCCTTAAGTTTGGGGGACAATATGTGTCTTTTTATTTTGAGAAAGAAAATGCTTTTTACATTTCGAAAAAGAGTCAGAAAGAAAATGCAAGCAACAAAAAAGAATATTGTGCAAAAAAAGAGTCATATGCAAGAAATTTTTTTTTGAAAAAAATAGTTCAAAAGAAGAAAAATCAAGTTAAAAAAAGAGTTTTGAGAGAAAATAAGAGTGGGGGAAGAAAATAAAAGTGAGAGAAAAACAAGAGTGGTAAGAAACATGAGAGGCAAGAAAATGCACTTACTTTTTCACAAGTCTGAACTGTAGACGAATATTTATCTTTAAATGGGTGGCGTTATCATCTTGGATGATAGTAACCTACATATTAAGGTGACTTCGTGAAAACCATTGTCGACATCATTTTATGTCGGGTTGCTACCTAAAGAGTCTCTATGAGTGGCTGTGGTTGGAAACCAATGTTAGTGTGTGGAAAACCTCAGGGGCTAGTAGCCGGTCCACATGTTTTCTTGATGTGAACTTTTTGAATCAAAACAGAAATGTACATATTCTTTGGTTTTGTAAAAAGTTTTGTGTTTTAGGAAAAAATATGATTTAGAATAATTTTTATTTAAAACAAAGGATAATTTATGGTATATTGACTTGAGATTAAAGTTTGGATATTTAACTGGTGGAGTCCTTCCTCAGATAAATATGATTTATTTACTTAGAATCTTGGGATTGTTGCTCATTCATCTTTCTATCATGTTGATTGTTATGGATTTGTTAGTTGTTTTTGCTTACGGACAAGCAAATGACTAAGTTCTGTTTGATCACAAATTCGAACTCTTTTCCATCATTATTTGCCAAAAAGGATTACATATTCCTGAAGTATAACATGCATATAACATTCCTTGATAAATTGCAATACATGGTACTTTAAGGAAAAAATGAGAAAAACATGGTCAAAGTTTGAAGAAAATCACATAATCCATTTTGCAGCGAAATTGCGCCTAGCGCAATTTTGAAGTCAAACTTGGCCAAAACGTGCGTTTCACTCAATAAAGGGCACGAGGATATTTCCAACATATTTGAATCAAACTACAATCGTGAGTCCAAGTCAATAAGGGGTTGTTAGGTGAATTTCAACCTATTTCCACCTAAAATGATGGGGAGTTCAACCAACTCAATGACCTATAAAAGGGAGTATCTCCGTCAGCAGCAAATCATCCCTTCCAAGCTCGTTTTTAGCTTCATTTCATTCCTTTTTAGTTGTAGAACTCGTTCTTATGATTTAGATTTAAGTTTTAGTTATTATTTCCTTGTATTTTCATACTCTTGCTTACCGTATTGCTTTTAATTCAAGTTCTACATTTTGTTCATCATCTATCATGTTCTTTTAAAGTTCTTAAGTGAGTTTACACTCCCCCCACGCTCGAAAGAGAAGAGGGTCAAACTAGAACTCCTCGTGCACTAATTAGTTATCAATATCTTTGTGGAATGTCTTAGTCAAAATGATTTGATTTTCAACACGCTCGGGGATTTGCCCAGATTGCGCCTTGTACTTTTTTGGGTTGGTTTCTAAAAACTTCTCTTTACGTCTTTTTCCACTTGGGCAGTGGAATTTTGATTTATACACTAAAGCCCAACTCTGAGAATGGTGAGTTAGGTAAAATAATAGGAAACCAATATGAGATGTGACTTAGACATAAGCACATAAAATATGGCCCTAGATATAGGCCATCTGACCCATAAATGCAAATGAGTTGATAAATATTCTCTAAGATTTTAATCACACATAGACATATGATTGTAGGTTACCCTAGCCTCTAAAGCAACCAAAAGCGGTAGTGAAAGAGTAGAACTCAAATTCTCAATAAAAACCAGATTGCACCTGGCACATTTTTCCAACCATGTGTATTTTCCATGTTTTGCATCAAAACTAAGATAGGAAGAAAAAATGTTGAGTTTTATTAAATTGCTTAATATTTAAAACCCTAAACAACAATGTTTCATCACTATTTTCTCCATAAACCACAATTGCATTTTGAGTCATTCACTTCTTAAAAACTGTTTTGAAAGCAACAAGTTCCTGATGATTCGACCTTAGTTTACTCCTAAGTATTACTTGTGACCGTGTGCGCTTGCACGAATCTCTAACATTTTTAGAGGTAGAGAAAGTCCAAATAGTGCCAAATGTTGATACAGGATTTGAATTTGGGTTGCAATGCAAGAAGCTCCGAACAAATACTTGCACACACAAGAAGATTAGAATATTGGTGTGGAACTAAGACCAACACACTTTGATACCTAAGTTAGACAATGAGTTAAGTTGAACATAGCAAAAATTAAGGTTGTGAAAATGTGTCTCGCACATGGGGCATCTCCTTATCTATAGATGGAGTCTTCTTTATTGCCACACTAACTCAAGTGGATCGACTCGATTGAGTCAGGTTGGGTGGTTTGGTTGGGTTGATTCAGCCTGATCGAGTTGGCTCACGATGCTTCTTTGGACTCACTCCAAGTGGACTCATATGGTAATATCACCAATAACAACTCTCTAGTTGAACTATGCTCGAGTCGATAATTACAATACATGTTTTAGTTCTATCAAAGAAAGTCAAAGCCCTGGTGAAAAGACGTCGTAGAGAGTAGGCTTTAGATTGGTGGTAAGTCTAAGGTAGTGTTGTTACGGCCAAACGGTTAAACCGGGAGAGGTGACAGAAAGGATAGCTGTGAACGAAAAGAAAGTCAATCGCTATCCGTTCGCTGGCGTGAAAAATAAAAATCTTGGGAGATTGGCAAAGGGTTTAGCAGAGCACAGAGAAAGATAGAGATTCGCGGCCATGGCGGATTCTTCCAAGGACGAGTCATCTGACGCTGAGCTCGAAACCAATAACTTGGACAGCCCTAATTCTTCTGACGCCTTAGTTCCCTCTTCTCTTGGTGGCCCTGCAATTTGCCTTTTCAGGTTTGCCGGCGACTCCGCGGCCGGAGCCTTCATGGGCTCCATTTTCGGCTACGGTCTCTCTCTCTCTCTCTCTCTCTCTGAATTATGTTTCCTTCGTTTTTGGTTTTATATTCTTGACACTGTTCTCGAAGGTTGGGGTACAATTGTTATTGAAATTGGGTTTAGTTATGGACTTACCTAATACCATTCACTGGAAATCCATACAGTTTTGCTATTTATTTAGAATGTTGGATGGCATTTATTTTTTTTCGATTTCTGATTTTTGGCTGGGATTCTTTTCTGTTTAATGGTATCACGCCATTGTATTTGAAGGGAGGAAAGTGTTTTGTTTCTCACTTGAAACAGTTACACAGTTCGTATAGATACACGACTTAGTAACCATAGATAACTAATAAAGTTGAGTAAACTAATTTAACAGACAAACAAACTACACTAAACCTCCTCCTCAAGATGGGGAGTGAAGATTAATAACTCCTAAATTGATCAACAAAGCAAACGAAACTGATGCAGGAATGATTTAGTAAGCATATCAGCAAGTTGGAACTGATTCCAAACAGGAAGTAGCTTAATAAGAGAACAAGAACCTGAAGATCACCAAGTAGGCGAAATATCCAAATAAGCTCAGTAGTTATAGTAACAAATGCACAATCTGACTTCCAAAGACAAGTGCCCCAATCAATATCCACAAAATCTTTTAATTGAAAAGAGATGATTTCTTATGGAGGACCCTATGAGCAGATGTCCCTTTCAAATAATGCAAAAGGGAATGAACAACTATTAGATGAATTGTTTGTGAACTGGCAACATACTGATGAAGATGATGAACAGGGAAAGATATATGGCATCAAATCTTAGATATAGTAGTTAATAAGAGAATGATAAAGAGAAGAATCAGCAACACTCAAAGGATCACCACTAGTAACACTGAAGACAAGTGCCCCAATCAATATCCACAAAATCTTTTAATTGAAAAGAGAATAATTTCTTATGGAGGACCCCATGACCAGATGCTGATGAAGATGATGAACAGTGAAAGATATATTGTAGTTGATAAGAGCAATAAAGAGAAGAATCAGCAACTCTCAAAGAATCACCACTAGTTACATTTAGCTTCAATATGGGATTCCTAGATTAAAAAATTGGCTTAGAGTCAAGGAAGCCAGTGTTCTCCAATAGTTGTGATTGTGAACAGTATGTTCCTCGAAGAAAGATAGATGCCCGGATGAGACTTAGACAAATCCAAGCCAAGAAAATAACTGAGAGAACCAGATCTTTAAGTTGAAACTTACTATGAAGCAAAAGGTTATGTTGAATCAGTAGTATCTTGACAAGGACCAGTTAAAATAATATCATCAATGTACACCAACAATCTAACAAAGGAAGAACCTGAAACATGAGTAAGCATAGAGTAACCTGCCTTTCACTAAGAAAAACCGAGGGAAAGGAGTACACGAGAGAAATTAATGAATTGTTGATGAGACACTCGATTTTAGCCTTAAATAGATCAGTTTGATTGATTGGCAACTTTGCCTTACTAGTGACCCGACTTTCAGATTAGGAAGAGGCATATAAACCTCCTAAAACATCACTAACTTGGAGTTGTCCAAGTCTCACCAACAAAATTGACTGGCCGCCAAACATAATTAGGAAAGCAACAACCATGTTTGAAATGGGTCTATATGATTGAGAAAGCAAAGGTGCTTCAGAGGACCTTGAGCATATTCTTTGAGGGTTCCAGCTTGCTTAGTCGATTTGGTGCTGGTTTTTGGATTCTTTCAAACTCCCTGGGCAAGAAATAAAGATTATCAGGAGATGGTGGAGAAGGTTTTGTTGGTTCCCAACTTTCGAGATAAGGGAAAAACTTCTTAGGAGGCTTGCTTCTTCGCTATTTTGTGGTGTATTTGGCTAGAGAGGAATAATAGAGTTTTAGAGGGGTTGAGAGGTACTGGAAGGATACTTGGGAGGTTATTAGATTTAATATCTATTTGTGTGTTTCTATTACTAAGTAATTCTGTCATTATCAAATAACTATAAGTGTTATTCTTTTGGATCTGAGCTCCTCTATGTAGGTTTGACCTCCTTTTATTGGGCTGTGTCCTTGTACATTCTTTCATTTTCTGAATGAAAGCTCATATTCTTACAAAAACAAAATAAACAATAAAAAAATCTAATGCAGCTATTTGCACCAAAATTATTGATCCATGTAACTAATAGAGTCTGAAGAACTAGCCACATCTTCATTGCTGAAAGAAAGATAATGATAGATGAATTTGAAGCATACTCATTAGTTGATTATTTTGAATAGGAGTAATACTACTAAAAAACTCAAGTTGTGGCATTTGTTCAGGAGCCATCCAATCACATGGTTAGCATAAACCCGTGAATTACTCAGTAGATTAGAAGAAGAAGAATTTTGTTTATGTTTATAACCTGATAGATAACTGTGAATCTTGTAACAACGGTCCACTAGACAACCTCTAATGCCATAATGTGCACAAATCAGTCTTCTTTCTTATGTGACTTACCAAAATTAGAAGGTTTCTGTTTCTTATTGCTGTCAAAACTGAGCAGCAAGGGGCACTGCACTGAATTGATCATTTGATGAACAAAGCTGTTGCTGCTCCTCTTGTATAACCTGCTAAAAGGTCTCATTCATTGGCAGCCCGATTGTTAGCATGGGTTGTACAGTCTAATAATATTTACGTACTTTGATTGAAAATGATCAATGAGAGATTGTACTTCTCTGGAAGGACCTTTACTACTACTACAAGTTGGCCGATGTTCATTAAATTCTTGCTAGATTGTTTCAGTTTTGTGTAATAGGAACTAATTGACAAATTTTCTTTCATCAAATTCATTAATTCTTTCTGTAGCAGAAATATTTGCAGTCCATTTTTTTGCTGAAACCTCAACGTCAATCCAATACAAATATTTTTAGTGGAAGCAGACAAGAATAAATTATACTGGCAGAGATACCCTTCAGAAAAAATATTTAAAAATAAATTAGATGACCGTATCGTCGTCCCGCTACCAAATGAAAGCACCTTTTGGTCTCTTGATTGTACCAACGATGAAAGCCAATTTTATTTTTCATAGGGAGACCAGTTAAGAATAGACCACCTCCGTGAGCTGTTATTCTCACCTGTTAATGGCTTTGTAATTAATATTAATCTATGTACAGTACACTCTTCATATAAAGACATGAGTTAGTAATCACGGAAAACTAATATAGTCAAATAAATTAACTACAGTTAGGTAAGTGGTATACTACCTTAACAAACTAACTATGGGGGTTACTTTTTTTTTTCCTTCCCTTTTTTTTTTCCGTTATACATCACAGTTCTTTTGATTTACAATATTGCAATATGACAGTTAAAATTGAATACATTTTGAGTGCCCTTTAGGTTCAGGATTGGTCAAGAAGAAGGGCTTTAAAGGATCATTTGCAGAGGCTGGATCTTGTGCCAAGGTGTGATTTGTCTTGTATGTTTTTACAGTGAGATAAATTTCACGGCTGGTTTCTGCCATTGGGGCTCTTTTCAATTTCATTAACTAATCTTTTGTTAACTTCAATTTATGAATCAGACATTTGCAGTTTTGTCTGGGGTACACAGTTTGGTTGTTTGCATGTTAAAGAGGCTGAGAGGGAAGGATGATGGTGCGGTATCTTCACTTTGAAAATATTAGTATCTGGGGCGTATGAATCCACTGCTTAATGAAGTTTACTAATTTTTGCAGTTATTAATGCTGGGGTAGCTGGATGCTGCACTGGTTTAGCTCTAAGTTTTCCAGGTAGTAACTTTTCCAACTGCACTTCATTCTGTGGTTTTTCCTTGTCACCACTTGATGAAAAAGGAAGAACCTTATGATTTCTGGATTACGTTTTGGCGGTATCTGGCATGTTTGTATATTTTAATTTGTTGAAACACATAAAGAAAGAGATTACACCTTACAATCGTTAAGTGTTACACCAATGTTGCTTTTCATATAAAGAAGTTGAGACAGATATCACTGCTGCTTTGACGTTTGAACTCCTGTACGTATGTAAATAGAGGATTTCATTCTGCAGGTGCTCCACAGGCTCTTCTTCAGAGTTGCATCACTTTTGGAGCCTTTTCTTTTATACTTGAAGGTCTTAACAAGCAGCAGCCAGCAATGGCTCATCCTGTCTTCTCGAGAAAGATAAGTGATATCGAGAGAAATCGTCCTCCCTTAGTTTTGCCACTTCAGTTTGCCCTTCCGGGTGAACTTAAAGGTGCATTTTCTGCGTTCTGCAAGTCCTTGGAAAAGAGCAGAAAGAGCTGGTAATGAGTTATCCAGCATTCTTTTAACGTCTTTTGCAGAACAGAAGAGCATTAATGCATATTTGTAGCTAAATTGTCCAAATTTGGGTTAGAACTGAATCAGAATTTTTTTTTGCTGAAATGTAATTGTGAACTTCTGGATGGTTTATTTGGAGCTATGTTTGCTATCTTCTTCGAAAATGCCTCTAGTTCCTGCCCAAGTTACAGATATTATGAAATTCTTGCTTGGCTTATCAAATTAGCTAATATATAATTTATTAGATTTCTTCATCTTTTTTTATTTGTTTTTTTTTTTGAGAAGGAATCTATTAGATAAATGAAGAATAATAAATATTCATGTAATGAGATTTTTTTAAAAAAAAATAATATATTATTATGGTTATAAATGTTAGGTTTGGTTTTTACGACCTACGGTTCCCAAATGAAAATTTGACTATATTTACACTGCCATAGTAAAAAAGTTGCCAAAAGGATAATAATTTTAAGAAAATGATGAATCAATTTTTGAATTAGTTTGAGATATTATATGTGAGATTCTTACTAGATTTTTGTGATTTAACCTCTCATTTGCCAAAACTTTTTGTTCTTATAATGTATTTTACGTTCTCTTCTATTGACCATACAATTATAATTTATTATTTTGTGGGTTTGGTAAACTAATCATCTTTCTTTCATTTTCAATACATTTATTGCATATTTAGCGAGAATTATATTATGAATTACTTTACTATTATTTTATACTACATAAAGTTTAACCTAAAATTTAGGTGTTTATTTGGTCCCTCAATTTCAAAAAGTGACATTTTAGTCCTTAAAGTTTGATAAAGGGTTCTAAATGGGGATAAAGTTTTAAAATAATCTAATTTTAAAAATAAATTACAAAAGTATTGTTAGTCTAAAAATAATTAGAAAATAAATGTAATTTAAATAAATAAATTCAAATGTAAGTTAGATTTTCAAAACTATTGACAAAAATAGATCATAAACGTGTATATCTGACGTGTCAGGTGATTAGATAGAAATCGCGTACATTGTCCGCGACTTTCACCTTTTTATTTTTATATTTTTGGAAGTCGCGTACATTACCTTTTTATTTTTTAATTTTATTTTATTTATATATTGTTATTTTATTTATATTTTAATTTATATATTGTTATTTTATTAATATTGCAAAATTTAATTAACATGTGATTAACTTTTTTGTTTTTTTTTATTTTAAATTTTGATTAAAATGTCATTTAAAGTCTAAAAGTTTAAAATTATATTAAAACCGATTAAAATGTCATTTAGCTTATCGTGTTTCATCTTCGTATGTTCTATAAAATAATATTTAAATTTAATAAAAACTATATCGATAAAAAATTATTAAATTATTAAAAACCTAAAAGTCAATGTATAAATTACATGAAACTCATATGTTTTGTCATTTGCATGACAAAATATATGGCTTTAAAAACCCAAATTTTGGGATATGTATAATTAGGGTTTTGTTTGTTTTATAATTATTTTGTTTTAAATTACTGCATTACAAGAATATGTCCATCATGTTGTAGGTAATTCATGAGCTATTTTCCAAATATGGAGAAAATTAAGATGATAGTATTTTTCTTAAATTATGATTTTTGAAATAAAATAAAAAAAAAAACCAAAAGGATATTAGTGGGAAGTGCACGCTTACAACTTCTAAATTCAAGAAGAAGAAGAAGTGGGGGAAGCAGCTGCCACAACCACTTCCAAATTTAACCAAAAACAAAGGGAAGTGCAGCCACTTCCAAATTTAAAATAAAAAAGTAATAAACGGCCCGTCAGTAAAGACGTGGCTCCATTTGTGCCACGTCGAGAGTGCTGCGACTTCTGTGAAATCGCGGTCAATGATCGCGATTTCGACATTAGTCCCAGGCAATGGCTACGATTCACGATGAAATCGCAGCCGTCGTCTGTAATTTTGGGCAAATCGCAGCCTATCCTTACAATTTATCTACCCTATTTTTGTAATTATTTTGAAACCTACATTAGTTTTGTCATTTATTTTTATAAAATAATTATTTTAAAAAAATCCTCTAAATGGTCCCCAAAAGTCTATTTTACATGACATAGATGAGGTGTTAAATTTTAAATCAGGTGGTACTTTTTATTAGTTTTATATTAATTTTGATTTCTGTGGCATATTTATTTATTTTTTAAAATTTTTTTCTTCTATTGTCTGTCCTTTCTCCGCATCAAACCTCTTCTTTCCCCTTTTTTCTCTTGCTCGCCGCCCCACTGCACCAGAATGGGTGTGGAATAGTTCACCTTCCACTAAAAAGATTGTCATTGTAATTGGAATTAACGCCCAAACAAGAACCATCGTCGGAAACCACCAGAAACTCGACATGGTCGGAGTTGGGTCCCGTGGGAAAAAACACAACAACGTTGAACCAAATCCAGACCTTTCAAATTCAAAACCCTCCTTTTCTTCTTCTTCAACCAAGGATCCATCTGCTATGACATTGAGTGTCGAATCGAAGTTGAAATCGAAGCTGTGGTGTGTGTATCTCATCATCTCCTCCGATCTCCCCTTCAAAACCTGTTTGAGCTCGAAATTGCAAAGCTCATATTAGTATTAGATCGGAACGTACAGGATGAGCTATTGGCCGCTGTTCCATACCTTCCCAGGCCACTCACGAAACCTGCAAAACAAAGTTAGCACTCCGACGAGCAAATTAGTTCTAGTGCGAGTAGAGTATATCTAGGATTTGTACCTTGCATTTAAGGCAATGGTTTCTATTTATAAAAACTGGGCCCGACAGGAACTTTGACACACCCTAAAAATGCGCGCGTGTTGTCGGGTTCAGAAGAGACCGTGTTACGGGCTTTGCCCTTGGTCGGCTCGGTCTTTCAGCTCATACTCTGACTGCTGACCTGAGTATTTTGGAGTCAATCATTTGTTGGGTGTGTTGCCATAAACTGGTAGTTTGTATTTTGTGTAAAAACAAATGTATATTCAATAAAGTTTTATACAATAAATTTGTTGTTGAATTAATAGCATTGCATTGTCCAAAATCCAATAAACTAAACATCCGAGGTTATTTTAGTGTAACCGGGACAGTATATGTACTGCGTATATATTTGATATACTGGGTATATAATTGATATACCCCTGATATACAAGTGGATAATGTCCCGTGAATAACCTAAAGGCTGTAAAGGTTACAGACGACTCGATCCAGGTCGTTCGTGTGGAGACATGCGAGTGGGGGTATCCTATACAATGAGTTTTTATAAGACCGAACCACGAAATAGCCAATCTTTAGATATAACACCGTTAACTAATAGATTGCTGTTTCTTAGGATGACTAGACAACTCATTCTCAATCTTGAGTGAGTTATGGACTCCTGCCCGTGAGGGCTCGTCCTTTGATCTGTATGGGTGAGAGTGGCCCGAGTTGCCGACTCAATATTCTTTCCATTTTGGGGACGAGACCGAGTGGGGAGCTGGGAACATAACTTCACAAGATGAAATTCACTCCTCTCCGACTTTAGAGGAGTAGATGAGTGTTCCTTTAAATGCTGACTCCGGGACTTGAACAAGGGGCCCCACTCTCTCATTGGCCTGAGAGGGACTTCCAGTTATTGGTCGGACCATAATCGGGTTGTTTATTTAGAGGAGCAGTGGTATTTAAGGAGTAAGATGTAACTCAAAGGTAAAATGGTAATTTGACCCAACTTGAGTTACGAGCACTCGTGAAGGATTGACTCATCATTAATGGTCGTATATCCATGGACACGAAAACGTTCTACAGTGAGAAGGGTGCAACTGCGGATCTTTAGTGGAATGACCCGTAGTTAACGAATCTAGATTAACTCGGTCAATGAGTTTGACCGATTAATCTTGCATCGTTGGAGCTTCTGATCTGTAGGTCCATTAGGTCCCCTTGCTAGCTCATAACGGGTACAACGAGGATCAAGTTTTTGGAAGAATTTGAACTGTTCAAATTTCATAAGGGATTATATGTATATTGATACATTATAATATATAGTTAATTCTAAATTAAAACTATATATTATGAGAGAAATTATTTGAATGAGATTCAAATAAAATTAATATCAATATGATTCATATTAAAACTGTAGGTTAAAAATAATGTGCATAAGATGTACATTACAACTATAGGTTATGCAAGAGAAATGTTTTAGAATATGATTCTAATTTTATAATAAATAATTAAGTGTTAATTATTTATTTGATTTATATATATATTAATTAATTAATTAATTATTAATTGGATTAATAATTAATTTTATTTATTTATTAATTATTAATTAGATTAATAATTAGTTATATTTATTAATTAATATGATTAATTAATAAATTATATATATATATTAATTATTATTATTAATTAATATATAAATTAATAATTAACTCCCCTGCAAAATTGCAGGGGTGTGGGCAGTTAAGTGACGTGGGGTAACTCCCCACGTCACTGCTTTTGTTTTCTTCTTTTTGTAGTTCTGTAAAAATACAGAAGAACAGAACAAAAGTTGAACTCTAAGAATCTCTCTCGAAAAAGCTCTCTCAATCAAATTCTCCCTCTCGTTCCAAAGAAACGCTCCCACAAGCGTGTTCTCGAAACCCAAGAGGAAAGCAAGGAAGATTCGGTGGTGGTGTTCGTCGGGAAATCATTGAAGAAACGTTCTTCAAAGGTAAAGTTTTCCCCTGTGTTTTTCTTCTTAACTGTTTTGATTTTGTTTCCCAAATATCACGAACAACGGTCCGCTTCCGCTCCGGGATTCACATCCCTTCATCCTTATATTTTGCGTGCGCATTGATTTAACTCGCCTCTTCTAACATGACACGTGGCAAGCCAGGATTCGTACCTAACATTGGCCCCCACTTCGGCGGGGCGGAGGTCGGCTCGACGAAGGATTCCGAGCTAACTAAGGAGGGGTTGAATCCACGCGTTCATGTGTGACGTCATAGGTGTCGTCAGCCCTAGTTTTTGCTTCGAGAACTCAAACGTCACCGCGGGGATCGCCTGGCCTGGACAAATCTTGTCTGTTGATCCTCCCTCGATTGTACGGCTGTTGTGCCTCCGGGCTGCCCTATAAAAGGTGCAGGTTTTCCTTTTTTTACTTTTCACTTTTCACTTCGAAGTTTTTGTGTACATCGGCCGTTATCCTAGTCAGGTACTCTCTCCTTCTTCCTTTAGGTAGTTCTTTTAACCTTGCCCCTTAGATCCGACCATGAGTAGCTCGTTTAGTGATTCATCGTCTGGGTCGTCCAGCTCGTCTAGTATAGACAACACTCTAGGGGAACCGAACTTAGCTTCTACCTCGAGGAACCCTCGCGTCGAGGATAGCTCGGCAAACCCCAATGTAGCCTCTACCTCGGGAAACCCTAACCCTGGTCCGATAGTCGAGCTTCCTCCCTCGACTTGCTCAGTAGGTAGATTAGCCGAGCTCTGGAAAACCTACTTAATCCCCAACTCCATAGAGCTTAGGGTGCCCAACGTCGGCGAGTCTCTTGACGACCCTCCTCCGAGCTTCGTTAGCTTCTACCCCCAAATGTTTAGTAGGGGGTCAGACTTCCACCTCACCCCTTCATCTAGAGGTTCCTTAGCGCAGTCAACCTCGCCCCAGCTTAGCTCTCCCCTAACGGGTGGTCTACCGTGCTCGGAGCCTATGTTCTGTGGTGGATCATCCGGGACGAGGACGAGGACAGGCTTACGGTAGATTGCTCTTAGCAACCCACACCGTCAAGGCCTTCAACGTGGGAGAGGGTTGGTACTACCTCTCTGCTCGGTGGAACGTAGGTCAGCTGATTAGGAACCCCTACTCTAAAAAAAATTGGAAGGAGTGTTGGTTCCTCGTCTTTGGCGAATGGCTTATGAGGGACGGAGGGGGTGAG